TTCGGTAGGATTACGCAAAAACTGTAAAACGATTTCCACAAAACATGGTGGACGGATGGGATGTGGGCCAAGAACCAATTAAATGTTGGTGCAGAAAGTACAAAAGTAGGACCCAAATTGTTATAAAATTAAATTTTAGGTATGAACATTGTGTGCATAAGGAGGATTTATGAGTTATTTGTCACACAGCTTAAACAGGAGCAGGCTGGGAGTGAAGTTGTGCTGTTTTACTTTGCTGCAGAGTGACTTGCTTTGGAGACGTGTGGTGTTTTGGTGCATGAAATCAACTGTGTGTGGATGTGGAGAGTTTTACAGAGGGGGCATACTTGTTGTATAACTAACAGCTGTCTCCTCCTTTGTTTCCAAAACGTATGTTGCTTTTCTATGCTTTGGAAAAGGATAGATGTAGTCATGTTGTTCCACTGGTGCTTGTTGGACTGATCTGAGGGAAATAATAGTTTTCGCATTTTCAAACTGGAAAAACCAACGTAAAAACTGAAAAATCTGGTAGGTTAGCTCTTTGCTGCTGAGTCTTTCTGGAAATCAATAATAAAGGTAATGTCTGTGCTTGTGTGCGTGTGTGTGTTGGAGGAAATGAGGTGACCCGCTGCGTTTGAACGCACTCTGACAGAATGCCTCGTCAGATGTCTGAGGAGCGTCAGCCAATCAGCTCTCATGTCTGTCTGCTAGCACTGCTTATGTCCTGGTCACACACATGAAGGATGCAACACGCACGTGAACACACACACATAGAGATGAAGCATAACGCACAAGGAAGGACACACACATCAGAGCTTTGGGCACATGCAACATGAAACACACACTAATTAATATGCAACACACACACACACAAACATACACACGCACAGAGCAGTGACTCAGACACTCTTCCCTGACAGAAACCCACGCTCTATCTTTCTCTCTCTCTGTGTGAACATCATATGGCTTCCACTGACAGGGACGGATGGCTGTGCTGTAGTCATTAACTGTTCTTGTGTGTGTGTCTGTGTGCGCGCACGCGTGTACCTTCTGCAGCTACACTGAAATCAAGCCAATATAGGTGCTCTGTGGGAGTCAACTTAAAAGCTGCTGCACCCACATGTCACATCCTCTTACGTAAGACATGAGGACAGGAAGGAAAGAGGAAAGAGAGACGTAGGATCTTAACAAGCAGCCAGCCCACAGATTGTAGGTGTATACCTTCAACAGCTACTTTAGTTTAGCTTTAGATTGCATTTCAGAAATCATGTCTTTATTGTAAACCACCCTACAAGTTTCAACAAGCCTAGGTGCATCCAGCATGGAGGCTCATCTCAGGCCAGTTAGCTGAGGAAGATACTTAGGATACATATTTTTCCGAAGGTCATGTGACTTTGTCAGGGAATGTAAACTGGAATTATTTCCAAAGTGGAGAATTTCTCAGCAGTATATTTGTCTAGACTCTAGAGCCACATTTCCAAGAATATTGATAGTTCTTCTGCCATTTATGTATTTATTCATTCATGAGGCTGAGTCTAATTTTACTGCACATGTCTACATCCAATTTGATCCAATTACAAATACCATGTGGATGTACCTCTTATTGAATTATTGTTTATTTAATTTAATTTATTTGTACAGCAACAGCCACACGATCGTATATCACATATCTGCATTTGCTCAGTAATATCTTAGCAGAGGGAATACTGCGGCACTCGTTTTTCTTCCTTGGGATGAAAATGAAAATGAACAAGAAAAACTAGGTTTGCTTTGCACTAAGACATTTATCCATCCATCTATCTATTAGCAATACCACTTATCCTCTGATATCAGACAAAAGGTCACCAACATTAAGACAAACAACCATTCACACTCACACCTATGGTTTAAAGTCTATTAATAACTCCAATCAGTATGGGTGCGTTCGGAAAGTCCAAATAATCTCACCCCCTAACCATATTGACCCCGATGGAATATGCCACGAGGTGAAGCTGTAAGGAGTAAGAACCACAGTGTGGAGAAAATTCGACTCCGCATTAAAAAAACAAAAAAAACGAACACTTTATTGATAACAGAATATACACGCAGACTGTAAGGTATTCTCCGTGCTGTAGGCTGTGCACTGACAGCTGTAGTAAAGTTTCCTGTCCAAAACAAAATGACACGTTCTGAGAAAAGATGTTTTCAGTTTATACAGCGGAAACATTTAATCATCACCTACTCACAGAAATAAAGATTTAATTGAAAATTAAATTATAAATAAATTATACAGTACTAAATAAATTATATGCTGAAGATAACTTTCAGCACCTCCATCAATACATTATTTTAAGGGGAAGAAATGCCAGAAGCAATGTACATTTCAAATGTTTTATGTGAATTATCAAAATAATGGGCTTATCTGTCTTTGCCAAACACATTTTGCCTCGGCCCATTGTTTAGCTTCCACCGACCCCAGCGATTTTTTTTTCTCAACTCAGAACACCGACCAGCACAAGCTGACACACATGGTTTTGTTCAATAAACTGATTAACCATCTCAGGTGAATCACAGTTTGCGGTGAGGGCCATGTGCAGCATGCTGCACCGTAAATCCCCCTGATCTGTCCTCTAAAAGAAATCCCTGCCGCTGATAGTGGCAGACACCATACAGCGCCCTGATGTTTCGATCCTCCGCTGCCGCTGCAGAGAAGAAAACTTGCCCTTCACTTTTACCAAACTCTGCGGTAGAAAACACAGCAGCGTCCCACCCTCCTCCCCCTCCTCACAGCCTTCTGTCTCAGCTCACACTCCCAGTAAGAGGGGAAGAGGAGGCTCCACC